AAGAAGTACAATGTTCATTTATACTATACTGTTAGTATAATGTTAAAGAGGTCATATTATGCTCATTTTCACGTTCGAAATCTTATTTAGGGGTTTTTGCTGCAGCTCCTCTTTTCACCCTCTGTGTTGAATGCTTCGTTTTAGCTATGGAGTGACACATCTTGCCTCTACAAGATCTTTGTTGGGAGTCGCACATACACAGTTCCTAGTTAAGGACTACTAGCCAATCAGAAGCAGAGAAGGGCGGGTCATGAGAAGCCAGTAAACACAGCTTCGTTTCAGCTGTATATCCCGTTACAGTTATTAATCTGTAACAAATGTATCTTTTATCCATAAAGTTTTAACTGAGCTCTGTCTCTACATCACAGTAACAACTTTATGTCCATTCACTAATTTGGCGGTTTCAGCTGCAGACGAAGCTTCTCTGTTTGTAGCATATCCCTGCGAAAGATGGTCAACTTGAACTGATGATTTTGGATTTATTACAAATCGGAAAACCAATGTAAGAGCTGGTTACAAAACAAACAAACAAAAACAACTAATAAATTGGCTACCTACCATACAGTTTCAGAGCATTAGCATAGTTTAGCACTAGTTCACAAGCCTTGTGTCAGCCCATTAAACAAAATGCAAGAAATTGGTACAGTAGTTTAAAATTACTTCAAAACACAACCGACATGTTAATATTACAGTATTACAACAAATACTAACAGGGATATATGTTCTATGGAACTATATTGGGTTATTTACACTGTTGCTGATTTTGTATAACAGGCTGCTCAAGCACCCCTCAAAGCGACCGACGCACTGGGATTTCTCCTGGTGCTCCTGGTGGCCAGTCCAACTATGCTTTGAAAGATTAGTTGTGGGGTGGTGGGGGAGATTACGGTAGGTTGTAGTCTTTACTCGCACAGTGTGCTTGTAAATAATTTGTAGAGCCCTGAGCTGGAGGAACTACGTGTTTGCCATTTCTCTCTGCCTTGTGCCCGTGGCAGGTCAGTAAATTGAGTGCATCTACACCGAGCAGGATCCTCACAGATCCAACATCACTGTGGCAGCAGCCTTCCCATCATCCTTCTCACCTGTCACTCAGTGCCTCTCTCAATTAAATGGGCCACCGAGCACCAGTGTTCATCTCCGAGGAGAGATTTCCTTCAAGACGAGGAACTGTGGAAAAATCCGATCCTGTGTGGGCCCACCCGGTTTTAAGCAGACATGAAAAAAAATCTAATCTGTGTGTCGTGACAATGAGTTTAGCATCAGGATTGTGAGTCTGTGTGAAATCAACCAAACAGCTGAGCTGAGGCACACTGTTCAAAACAGAAATGAAACTCGTGTCTGATGACATGTCTTGGATGGCTTCATATTTGTCTGTTGATATTACTGCCTCTGTCTCTCATCTCTTTTCCTATCCTCACTCTTCTCCTTCTTTCTGTTGCTTCCACTTGCATGCATCAGTATATGTGTTTGTCTCTGTATGTGTATAGTAGAGAGAGAGAAGCATTTGGGTATTCAAGGAAGCCCGCCCACTGGAGAGCTGCAGCAGGCAAAGCACCAATTCTCACTTCAGAGTGTGAGTTGAACGTTGGACTTGGACTCTAATCGAAAGTCTCTCTCCCGCCAAACGCCCCCTCAGTCCAGCCTCTGATGGAACAGGTCACTTTCACACGCCTACTCTCTTTAACACTCTGTTGTTCATCCTTCATTGAACTTGAGTTGGTCACAATGGCACAGTAGTACTAGTAGTAGTATGAGCTATTCATATTGAAGTGTTTTGGTGACAGTCTGATTGTGGGGAGAACGTTTTATGATGGTGAGGCAGCAGCAATGCTCAAAACCTGTAGAAATATAGCGGGAAGTTGAAAAATAAAAATGACAACTGTAGCTGTTTTTTTTGGACCAAATACAGTGGTGGACAACCGGAACAACTTGTAAATGCTCCGTATTTGTATAGTGCCTTTCTAGTCTTTTCAACTCAAAGCGCTTTTACACTACATCTGCATTCACCATTCACACACTCAAAGTGCTCAAACAGAAACTAACATTCACACACTGGTGGAACAGCCGCCAACCTTCCAATTAACAGGCAACGCTCTACCTCCTGAGCCACAGCCACATGCACACCAAATCTGCAGCTGAAAATAGTCCCAAACAAAGTAACGAGGAAGGGATGATCCAAGATGGCAGCCAAGCCACACCTATGTGTGGATCTTAGTGTTTGAGATCTCAAGATTTTTATTGTGATGTTTTATGTCTTTTAAACTCAAATGAGTATACTCCCGAAAAACAAGACATTCTTCTCCATACTGGGATTATTTTAATTGCGGATAAGGCTGAATTTCAACTTAAAACCTGGACATTGACCACCTGGTTGCCCTGCTTGCTAGCTACCACCTGGATGCCCTGCTAGTAGCCTGCTACAGGTAGCCCTGCTTGTTAGCCTGCTGCAGCTAGCCCTGCTGCTAGTCACCACCTGCATGACCTATTGCTAGCCTGCTTCTGGTGGCCCTGTTGCTAGCCACCACCTGCATGTCCTGCTGCTAGCCTGCTACTGGTATCCCTGCTGCTAGCCTGCTGTCAGTAGCCTTGCTTCTAGCCACCACCTGGATGCCCTGCTGCTAGCCTGTTGCTGGAAGCCCTGCTTGCTAGCCACCTCCTGGATGCCCTGCTGCTACCCTGCTACTGGTAGCTCTGCTGCTAGCCTGCTGTCGGTAGCCCTGCTTCTTAGCCTACTGCTGATAGCCCTGCTTGCTAGCCACCACTAGCCTCCACCTGGATGCCCTGCTGGTAGCCTGCGTCTGGTACTTTTGCTTGCTAGCCTCCTGATGGTAGCCCCCGCTTGCTAGCCACCACCTGGATGCCCTACTGCAAGCCCCACTTGGTAGCCACCACCTGGATGCCCTGCTGCTAGCTGCCCTTGCTAGCTACCACCTGGATCTCCTGCTACTAGCCCCACTTGCTAGCCACCACCTGGATGCTCTGCTGCTAGCCCCACTAGCTAGCCACCACCTGGATGCCCTGCTGCTAGCCTGCTACTGATAGCACTACTCCTAGCCTGATGCTATTAGCCCTGCTTGCTAACTCTCACCTGGAAGCCTCCCTGCTAGCCTCCATCCTGTAGCCCTGACTTTTTGACTCCAAGCTACTGTTAACCCCTGTTAAGGCTGTCTTCAACTAAACCTGGTAACTTGACATCATGAATTTGTTTATACTCTTCATACTTATACAGTCCAGCCCTGTACTATATGAACTTAATATGACCAAAATGAGAAGCAGTATATTAATAAAGTTAAATTGTGGTCATTTCTCAACTTCATCTACAAGTCATTATGAGAGATACCGCCAGAAAATCAACCTGTGTAACCAAAAAAACTGTTCACAAGTTAATAAGACCCTGTATCTCCAGAACCTACTGCTGTTAAATGACTATTTTATTGTCTCAGATTACCTTTTTTCTCAGTTCATAGAGGACAGTGGTAATGACAAATATTACCCAGCCAAACAAAAACTATGTTGTATGATTATGGTTTTATTGATGTTATCTGGTAATATTTAGCCCAATCCTGGTCCTGTTCCTGGTCCTCCTAACACTTTGCAATCCTTAGTCACTCCTTCAGATTTCAATAGCATACATTTAAACATTAGAAGCCTTGTCCCTAAAATGGATATGCTCAAGACCTGGGCTAATACAACCATGCTGATATCATTATCATCTCTGAAACCTGGCTTAAAAAAAATCTGTATCTGATGAACTTATTTCTATTGAAGGTTATAAAGTTTATAGAACTGACCGGGTTGGCAAAGGAGGTGGGGTTGCCATATATGTGAAATCTAAGTTTATAAGCTCTGTAACCCTGTCACTAACTAAAGCTAAACAGTTTGAAATTCTGACCGTGAAAGTGAATATCTCAAAAGACTCTGATATTACAGTAGTTGGGTGCTATAGACCTCCATCTGCCTCAAAGGATGCTTTCCAATCTATATCCGAAATATTACATGAAATTAATGACTTAATGAATTGGGACTGGCTTTCTAGGAACTCTGATTGTTTAAGACTTATGTAATGACCTAAACTTAGTGCAACTTATTAATGAACCAACAAGAATAAATCCCAAAGCAGAAATAAAATCTACTCTCCTTGATTTAATCATAACAAATTCAGTTCATAAATATACCTCAACTGCCGTATTTTGTAATGACGTCAGTGACCATTGTGCAGTCGCTTGTGGAGGAAATACAAAAATCCCCAAGGTAAAAACACGCATCATCCTAAAAAGACATTTTAAAAGTTTTGAACAACAGGCTTTTCTGCATGATCTGTATCACAGTGATCTCAGCAGGGTGTCTTTGTTTTCAGATGCTGAAATGGCATGGGATTTATTTCATTCAAACTTAATTTCCATTGTAAATAAACAT